GGACCTCCTGCAATTCAATTCAGTCCTGACGCTAGCCAGAGCTATTGTAGAAACCACAGGGCAAGGGCTCCGTCCCGCAGGACTGGCCCGCACTTTGGATGCCAATCACAAGCACTAGGTCTCTGGGTTACCCACAAGTTCTGTGCCACATGGAGGTCCCCCACGCCCCTCCTCGGATTTGATCATTTGCTCATAGAACTCACAGAGCTCACAGAACTCAGGGAAACACATTTATGGGTTTATTGTGATAAAGGATACAGAGGAATGGCCAGGTGCAGAGGTACATAGGGCGGGCGAGGTCTGGAAGGGGCCAAGGGCAGGAGCTGCTGTCCCCGTGGAGTCGGGCGCGCCACCCTGCTGATGTGTGGGCATGCTCGTCAGCCTGGTGGCTCACTAAACCTGTGGGATCTTTACTAGGGGATCCCTATGGGATCGCTAACCCTACTATGGGATCTTTATAGAGACTTTATCACATGGGAATGGTCAATCATTATCGACTCAATCTTCAGCCCCTGGCCCCTTCCTGGAGACTGGCGTGGGGATAGGATAGGGCTGAGCATTCCAAGCTTCTAATCATGGCTTTGTATTTCTGGTGATGGGACCCCGCCCAGGAGCTACTCAGGAGCCCACCGAGAGCTGCCTCATTAGGGTAAAAGACCCAGGAAATTCCAAGGGGTTTAGGAGTTCCCTGTGGAGAACCGGGGTCAAAGACCAAATACAAAAGCTGCTGCCAGTGCTCTTGTCACTTAAGAAATCACAAGGGTTTTAGGAGCCCTGTGCCAGGAGCCCCAGCTCCTGGGCAGAGACAAATATATATTTTCTGTTATTTCACAGCAGGCCACTTACTTAAGATCTAAAATCCACGAACAGGAATGTCTCAAATGCTCAGCTTCTCAAGAAGCCCAGGCCCCCGGGTGTGTTTGGGGCCACACTCCGGGGCTACGCTGGAGCCGGCTCCCACCGGCCTGTTCATCACACCAGCTGGTCCGCATTTTCAGGAATTTTGCACGTCAGTTGTTAACACAGCTGTTATTAAAAATTAAATTGTATACACTTACAATTAAATTATATTAAAAGGTAGTAACTACTCAAAACTCATCACTTCCTACTTATTTTACATTTTACTCTTCTCCAAGATCTGGAGGTTGTTTCTAGGTACTTCAGCAGTGTGATGGAGATACATACTATATTGTGGTGTGTGCTACCGTGCATTTCTTCCCAACTGCAGCCCCTGGCATCAGGTTGGAAGCTTGGCATTGACCACGGTGGAGGTATTCACGGCCTGGAAATCTGCAAAGGCCACATAGCCTCTACATAGGGCTTGGTTTATTGTTTCGTCGGTTACCTTGACTTGAGAAAGGCCCGGAGAAAATGTGAATAATGCCTAGTCCACTTATGAAGTGCATCATGTCTGTACCTGGGACAGTGATTGGAGGAAATTCTCCTGGTATTTGGAGAATCTTATTCTATCTTATCATGTTGTCCAGCAAGGAAGTCACTCATATTGTTGACGAGCAATTGAGGTTCTGATGTGGTTTTATTGTTTCGTGTTCTTTTTACTTGTTAATATAAAGGAAAATCTCAACCAACGTTCAACTGTACTTGTTTGTCATTTGCAATCTAGGTTGACTATGGATACAGGATTCGGCAACAATCAACAAAACATTGTGTGAGTTCACTGGCTGTATGGTATTTATAACAAAGAGTATTGCACAATCATATCAGAAACATTTATGTTAAACTTTTATCCCTGGCTGGTGTAGCTCAGTGGATTGAGCACGGGCTGCGAACCAAAGTGTCGCAGGTTCGATTCCCAGTCAGGGCGCATGCCTGGGATGCAGGCCACAGACCCAGCAACCGCACATTGATGTTTCTCTCTCTCTCTCTCTTTCTCCCTCCCTTCCCTCTCTAAAAATAAATAAATAAAAAAAATCTTAAAAAAAAAACTTTTATAAGTAGTATATTTACACATGCACACATTTTGTTTTCCCCCAACGAGAAGTTGTTAAACATTTGCCAACATACAATTGGGCATACTCCCACCACACTCTTACTGGTTGTAAGAATCCTGGGGTGGGGGTGGGGGTGGGGTTTCCTCTTCAATCTGTAGGCATGAAAATGCCACCTTTCCTCCTAGTTTTGGTGGGCTCGGCCACAGAGAGCCCAGCAAATCGTCCAAGTCAGCCAGCTGAGCAAGTCCAAAGGGGAAGACAGGGCTTCCCGGCAGGCAGAGGCCCTTCCTGGGGAGGCCGACCCATAGCGGGTGGAGGACGGAGTTAGCAGCTTTGGGGGCTCCTGTCAGTGGACACCTTGTCCGGCACAAAGGAGCATGTTATCACTATTGCATTTAGATTGATCAAAGTGACAATGACAGCAAGCATTCACATGCTTTTTTTTTTTTTACAAAGCGTGCCCACATTTATTCGCTATTTCATACTTGTAAAGCTTCCTCAGATTTTTAGCAATTTGTGGGCAGCTGGAGAGGGGATATATTTATCACAGTATGAGATGTTAGCTAGCTCATTCCTCTCCAGGATGTATTGCCTCTCAGACATGGTATTAAAGGCGTTCACTTACTATTTCCTACACTCGTTATTATACCCAGTCTGCAGTGAATTCAGGGCAGGAAACAAAACTCTTTAAGGCGTCATTAACAGTTCAAGTGGAAAGAGCAATCCCCTTGCCAAAAGCAAGTGTGTTGCAATTGTCTTTGATTCCATTTCTGCCCGTGGGGTGTTGGTTGGAGAAGGGGGTCCAGAGTCCTGGGGATGCATGGGGGTGGATATGAACATAACCAGCTCCATCTCTGTGTCCTGGATTTCATTCCAGGTTTAGGTTTCACGTGGTGACCTCTGACCAACCTCACTGCTCTTAGCAAGCCTATCAAAGCCTCCTAGTTGATTTTGATGATTATCTGTGTTCCTTAAAATGTAGCTGTATTTTGGTTTGTAACACTGGAATGGTGTGACGGCCGAGATAAATATCAAACTAGTGGTAGTATTGATTCTAAACAATTATCTATCACAAAATTACCAGAAGGGGTGGCCCCTGGTGTGACTGCGCTCTTTGTCCCTTTGCCTTGTCAATCATTAGTACCTGAGTTAACTATTAAAAAAGTACAGTAACATACCTTGGCTGTTGTAAATAATGCTGCCAGGAACATAAGGATGCATAATTTCAACGACTCTTTCGGATTTCTTTGGATAAATACCCAGAAGTGGGATTGCTGGGCCACATGGTAGTTCTTGTTTTAAGTTTCTCAGGCGCCGCCACACTGCTCCCCACGGTGGCCGCACCAGTCCGCACTCCCACCAGCAGGGCTCCAGGGTTCCGTCTTCTCCACATCCTCACCGGCACTTGTTTGCTGATTCATTGACGATCGCCATGCTGACAGGTGCGAGGTGATATCTCATCGTGGTTTTAATTTGCACTTTTCTGATGATTAGTGACATTGTCCATTGTCCTCTGATAGACAAAGACAATTGGATTCAAAAGACGAGGTACATACATACAGTGAACTGTTACTTGGCTATGAAAAAGAATACCGTTTTCGATAACATGGACAGACCTAGGGAAACATAGAGAAAGACAGATACTGTATGAGTCTTTATTTATACATGGAATGTAATGAACAGAACAAACGAACAAACAAAACGGAAACAAACTCATGGACCCAGAGAACAGACCGATGGCTGCCAGGCGGCAGGGAGGCAGGGCCCTGGGTGAAAAAGCTGAAGAGGTTAAAGAAGTACAAATTGGTGGTTGTGAAACAGTCACAGGAATGTGAAGTACAGAATAGGATTACAGTCAGCGGGGCCAGGCGGGTACTGGACAGACTGTGGGGAGCACTTTGTAAGTCGTATATAAATGTCTCATCACTGTGCTGCACACCTGAACTAACACAGTATTGAACGACAACTGTAACTGGAAAATGAAAAAAGTGCAGTGACCGGCGCCTGGAGCAGAGAACACTTTGCACGGAACTGCTGAGCTGTCTGTCCTCTCTGACCCTCCTTCCCTGTGAGTAAATCGCCATATCATCAGCTCTCTTATCTTCTCTGGCGTTGCCTGCATTGTTCTTTGTTCTGAAGATAACTTCTGCTTGCGGAGGCTGCTGTGCCTTCGTGCATTCCACCATCAGACGGAGGAGTAAAGAGAGGGGAGCCAACAGTGGCCTCTGGCACTGTGGCCGGAGTTTCTATCCATTTTGTAAATACTGTTTTAGTAGTGTTTGTGCCTGTTTTAGCTTCGCTCGCATGGCGGATCAGAAAAAATACATTGATGTTATGATGACGGAAAACACCACCCAACCCAATTATTTTCCTGTGTTACTGTGATCAGCATCACGGCATGCATGTGTTTCTCTAGAAAGTTTTGCGTGGAGGGTGGTATGGATCAATACAACAGCACACGGCGGCTCGCTGGGACAGTGCACGCCCATTAGCAGCCAGTCGGCGAGGTCTCTGTGGCCCACGGGGCGCTGGGAGTGTGGCTGCTGTCCAGTTAGCATGATTAACTTTCACAGCTGCGAGGGATCTCTCGGACCCAGAAATGGGCTTTTGGGATTGAACGAACTAATCTGATGTTCTCTGATGATCACACTAAATCAGATGGTTATCAAATATTAACTCCACTTTCTGCCGGGTGAGCTTGCCTTGTCTACAGTAGCACCCCTGGCACGCTCGGGAATGAAGAAATTCAATTTCAAAAGTAAACACAGTCAGAGTACAAAAATAGTTCGGAGGTCGGCTTACACCTAGAACAAAGCTCAGCTAATTTGGACCAACAAATACAACTGAAATTTGCAGAGCCGAAGCAGTATTTCATCCAGCCAAAGGTTGCAGGTACAGTTTTTTCAAGATTTGCTTTTTTCTTCTGCGTTATTGATTCCTTGTGTGAAGGAGAGAGTACTGACACGTGCAGAAGACTGTGCCGAGTTGAAATGGGTTGAGGTGGTGGATCTTCGGCAGGTCTTTGTGCTCTGATTTCAGTGGGAACCACCGTGGACTCCGCAGTAGCTTCTAGAACCAGTTCCATCACAGATGTAATCATCCAACACGTCATTCCCTGGAATTTGACTGAAAAGTGGTGAGACAGCAAAAGATTCCGTTCTTAAAGAGGGTTGTGCAGCCCGCCAGCTTATGCTCATTAGAGACGCTCTTTATTACACACTCTTCACTCCAACCACAACTAAACAAACCCAGAGGCTGGAATCGAGGATGGAGGTGGGAGGGGCAGGGGAGAGGACCAGAGCAGACTTCTAGGGGAAAACAGTTGTGGTAAAAAATATTAGACAAAGCTTTACTTTACTTCCTACAGAAGTTCTTAGTCTCAAAATATTGAGAACTTGCAAAGTGAGTCTTTTTTTTTTGCTGAGGACACACCCTCAGGTCAGGTTACAGTGAAAAGAACCCTGCGCTTCCTGATGGAGGCCTGGCTCCCAAAACCTCAGCCTCCTCTTCACCCTGGGACCTCCCACAAGGCTCCTAACCTCTCTGAGCCTCAGGCCCTTGTCTGGGCTGTGGTGGCTTTCCGCCCTTGGCACTTCGGTTTGTTCCTTACCGTAAAGCTTTCCACTTTCAAGATGGGGATGCCTCGAAGACTTTGCTCCCACTCTTAATTTTCATGCTTTGGAGTTTCAGCAAACATCGTCATTTTTGGAAACTATATTGGGGAAATGGGGTAGGTCCGCTGTTTTTGGAATGTATAAACCAAAGTGTAAGGAAAGTGCCATCCTTCGGGGAAGCCTAACAACAGTATCACAAACCAGCCCTCGTTTCGCTTGTGTGTGTGCCACGGCATTACATTTTAAAAAAGATACAAAACCACTGTATACATGTTCCCCAAGCGTCTGCCTTCTCCCTTTGTATATATTAGGTATATTTTGGAGGTCATGCTTCTCTAATACATTGTGTTTTGCCTGTGCCTGCGTTGACCTGTGGTGCTCACCCCCTTGGTCTTCACTGTTCCCCCCTCACCTTCATGCTATCTCTTGGGACTGCTTTCGCCTCTTCCTGGCTCCCTCTCTGTCGGAAACCACCCTCTTCCTTCATTCCTCCAATTGCACTGTGACCAAGCCCAGGTAGGGTAGATCTGCAGCAAACGTTGGGAGACATTAGAGAGTAGTTATGGTGTAGGACAAATTCAGTTCAGACCACTCTTAGAAATTCCTCCCAGAGGCCCGTGGTGAGTGTGTGGGACTGGGTAAAGGATGACGAAAGGGAATAGTTAGCAGCTACTCTTTCCTCCCCGCCCCTCCGCCCCCAGGCCTTGGAATTGGAACAGGAGAACAGATGGGGGAGGGCGTTTTAGGAGGTGGGGAGGGAAGGGAGGGAGCAGCAGAGAGCGGGTTAGCTCATTCACAGTCTGCCTGGAGCGGGCTCTGTCAGCGAAGTTCCCAACTAGGAGACCTTTAAAAATGGTTTTGGCTCCAACATCTGGTTAAGCCAACCGCACTGCCACGCAAAGTCTGCTTGAAGAGGTCGGCTTACTCCCCATATTTTCTCTGTTAACTTTCTCCCTGGTCTGTCTTCGTAAAACTCTTTGGGGGTGTTTAGCCACTTAGTGACAGAGGGGGAGATGTAACAGTTTTAGGCCCCTTGATTTTCTTGATGAGATAAAGAGACCCTTCTGTTGTCACTTATCTTATCCAGCTTGTCCTCAGATCACGTTGAAATTCCTTTTCGTCACACCCCCTCGGTTGTAATCAAAAGGCAGATTAGCCTGGTTATCAAGGCCCATCGGCTCAAGGCTCTTAGTTCAATGACACCCACCAGGAACAGCAGAGCAGCGCTTTGCAGGGTTAGCTGGCTGCGTTATTACAACGATTTCATTTAATAAACTTGCCGCCAGCATCTTAATCCTCAGTCAAGTATAAGCATGAGAATTCTCGTTAGCCATGATTAGGCGGCACTGATGGTTAACAACATTTTCTCATCCCACAGGATTCATTTTCATTAAAAGTCTAAATTGATTTAAAAAAATAATTTCAACAAGAGCCCCTGACTGATGGCAACTCACTGGGCTTTCGGGAGGAAGACCTGTTGTAGAAAAACCGTTTCAATTGTGCAGTTTGATTTTGCTTTTGGGTTTGTGCGGGGACCCATGTCCTGTAGGGTTTCTTCTAATCCTCCAGCCCCCTCTCCTGCCTGACCTGTACCTGTGTCCTGCCCATCAAACTGGCTACGTGTTCTCCCCACACGTGCTATTCTACTAAAGGTGCAGAACATTCCCTGCAGGTGTTAGGAATTTTCTGTCTTCCCCCGTTTAGGGTCTGAAGTGGAGCCATGGGGGTTCTCGGTAGTGTCCAGAGTTCTGGTCACACTGGTGGATTCTGCCATGACTTTGAGCTCCTTCCTCCCACCTGCCTCCTCCCGGGAGCAGTGTGCCCCCACACAAGACATGCAGCGCCAGGCATACAGTAAGCGCTCCGCGGATGTGTCAGGGATGAAAGAATGAGGGGCCGAGGGTCCCAGGTTCTAAATCTACAGCTGTTGTCTCTCCTTCTTTTTCAAATAAACATTTTCCAATTATAGTTGGTCTACAATATTATATTAGTTTCAGGTATATACAACACAGTGGCTAGACATTTATACTCGTATACCTCATGAAGGGGTATATAACGAGGTATGTAAAACCTCACTTTGTAAGGCATGTAATTGCCTCTGCTTTTCTGAGAGCTGTGTTTAGCTGGGTCCTGGGGAAAGCAGACACAGAGACAGGATTAAACATGCAACAGTTTTATGGAGGGGAATGCCTACCCGGGAGAAGACGGGGAGAGAGCTGGACAGTTGGGCAGGACTGTTGCGTTGATGCAGGCCTGACTTGAGCGAAGGAAGGAGGGAGGAAAGCCTGGCTAGTAACATCCTAGACTGCTGTGCAGGCAAAGGAAGGTTCAGCAAGGATGCTGAGGAGTCTTAGAGCCAAGCTGGCCACCAGCCTAGCTACGGGCCTGCCTCGGCATACCTGCGGTGCTGCAGTCATTGGCTGGCAGCAGCCCCTAGGAAGTGCAGCCTTGGTGTGAAGGTGGCGCTGGATTCCCAAGTGCAGCAGCGGGGGCCATGGTGAATCACACATCCTGGAGCTGTGGGTCTGCAGTGCGTGTTTCTGTGGCCGCCAATGACCAGAGCTAAGCCAACAGCACAGTCCAATACCTGTCTCTGGGTCTGCCTTCTCTTGAGCTGCAGGTGCTCCCTGCCTCTGGGATACTCGCCTGTAGGCATTTGTGGTTCGCTTCTAGGCTGGGTTGCCCATGAGGCCATTCATTGCTCAGAATCTGTCGCTGCTGTCCGCCCAGCCCCCCGGGCCCTCCTGCCATTGAAGGCACCGTGTTAACTCTGAGAAGGACATGTGTCATTCTGCCAGGGAGATCTGTGCCTAGGAGATCCTTTCTGGACAGCCCCGCCTAGGGGCTGGACCCCGATAACTACTTTGTCCCTTCTCTTCCCCTGGCACCAGCTAAACTGCTTGGTGTCATGTTCTTGTTTAATTAAGATCAGTTCTGTTTCGCTGTCGACACCGTTGGTCCCTAGGAAAACAAGAGTTTCAAAGGTCTATTATCATATATACAAAAAGATAATAGGCAGGCTCACTTAGGTAAGTGAAAGATTTGATCTTTGTCAAGGAAGTTATAGGCCTGGGACAGGACTATCTGCCGTGACTTGCTTTTAGTTAGGAATTCTTAGGTTCTGGCCATCTTGTGTGGTTACATTTGGTCTCTGAGTTTGTAGGGCCACCGTGCAGGCCCCCCCGGAGCTTGTCAGGGTCAGTGTGTGGCCCCTGTTTTGTCCACATGGGGCTGGCCTTCCATCCAGGATGCACAGGGGATGGGGGCCCAGAGGAAGCGTTGTGTTGATGGGCACCGTGCCGCCTGGCACTGTGTCCTTGGCTTGTCCCTTCCACCTGCTCGGGCGGTGCTCCCTGGCTCCCTCGAGGGTCCTTGCAGGCACTGACTCAGGGAGGAAGGCTCAAATGCTTGTACTTAGGAGAGAGGATGAAGCAGCACAGTGCCCACTGGGGAAGTGTGGGTGAGTCAGAAGGACCGGTCCTCTTCCTTACATAAAGCTTCATCGTGAGGCAGGGTTTCTCAATGAAGGGTATTAGTCATTGAGAGAAAGACCAAGTGGCCTTTCCTAGGGGCCTTTGACTTGGTAAAGGCTCATCCATGTGGGGCGAATTTTGGGTGGTCTTGCCTGGTGGGGCACGGGGGATGGGAGAAAGGGCAGGCGAGGACGCAAAATCAAGTTCACTTCCCACACTGGGATTGTCCGCTTACTCATCTGCTGGAGTCCGATGGGTCTCATCATTGTTCCTGCCTTTCCTGATTTGCTAGAACTCCCCCAGGGCGCATGAAAAAAATACGGAAATCAAGTGCTTTATTTTAAATTTATGCTTGGTTTCATAAAGATGAATTAGGGGAAAAATGTACGCTGTGACTCCTCTTTTTATGCCACCGAGAGAGGTATCTGTGACACTTTCTCTTGTGAATAGAACTCAGTGGTTCTTCTCTGTGCAGTAAGATGGTCTTACAGTTGTGCCTGGCCATGGCATTGCATGTCACCACAAGCCTATTGAGCTCTGCATTTAAGCCCGTTTTGGGAGATGCGGAGCTCAGCCTTTCTCAGTCACACAGGATTAAACTTAGCACTTAGGTTCATATACAGCTGGTGCTGGCTGGTTAGTGAGCACTCTGACCGCCCGTGCGCAGAAAAGTCAGTCCCCTTCCATGGACTCAGCCAACACGCTCTGGTCCCGTCGGACCAGTGTTTGTGGGAAAGGACAGTGTCCTTTCTGATGCAGGGCTCCTGCCGCGTTGTCCTGGCTGTCAACATATTTTGAGTGTTGCCTCTGATTCACATCTCTACCTTTTTCACAGGTAGGTAGGGCTGCCAAACCGTAAGCCAAGATATCTTGTCCAGCCTTGACAAGTAAGTGCTCCCTGACATGTCTGAAATTTATGGGCGGCTGATGAAGTGCAATGAATTTACACGGGGCTACCTCCGGGCTTCACCAGATGAGGCAACTGAGTACTCTTGAAATAATTGTTTTATTTATAGTCCATTAAACTTCTATTGGGCAGACTTCCAAGC